TATACCTACAGACACACATTGTAATTATGCGTATCATTTTATTTTTTGTAGATTCTATACCTATAGAATACTATCCATAAATTATAGAATAGAAAATACTATCCATAAATTATAGAATAGAAAATACTATCCATAAATTATAGAATAGAAAATACTATCCCTAAATTATAGAATAGAAAATACTATCCATAAATTATGGAATAGAAAATACTATCCATAAATTATAGAATAGAAAATACTATCCCTAAATTATATAACAGAAAATACTATCCCTAAATTATATAATAGAAAATAGTATCCATAAATTATGGAATAGAAAATACTGTCCATAAATTATAGAATAGAAAATACTATCCATAAATTATAGAATAGAAAATACTATCCCTAAATTATATAACAGAAAATACTATCCCTAAATTATATGATAGAAAATACTATCCATAAATTATGGAATAGAAAATACTATCCATAAACTTTCTTCTTTTTTTTTTATAAAACCAAATTTCAAGGACTTTCATCAAACAATTTAAGTCTATTCACCCAAATTAATTTACAGAATATTTTAGTATCAATATCTATATAGAATTAAACAGTTAAGACTCAAAATATCTGTTAGTACAAGATACAAAGCCGAAAGCTTTGTTACACAGTAACATACTCTCCAGGAAATGCATTCAATAGCTTATTAATTTAACGGGTAATATGAACAGATATTTTGAATTAGTGCTAAATCTGCACAGCTTCTTAGTTTCAAAATAAAGTAGAGGTTTAACTTACAATGATAATAATCATCAAACAAATTACTTTTCTAAGTTGGCATCTGCACTAAAATGTCATAAAAATATCTACATTGTCAAGTTTAAGCTCTTTGTACATGTCAAAAAATGCAATTAGGAATTGCATCAAAACAGACAATTATTCTCATGATTAATACAGCAAATTAGTCTTGACTTTTGAATTCTTAATAAATCTCACCCAGTATAGAGACCAAATAATCCTTCCTTTTTTATTATTGATCTGATTGCATGAAAACTAGTTTTGTGTTCTCTGGCTTTACCACCTTCCCCTGAATAATGGAGAAAAAAAAATTAAATTTTTTCTGTAAAGAATACTCACATTCAGTAATAACTACAGTATAAAAGATAAACAGTTTTGTAATATTTGTGACTTTAACGTCCAAAAAAAGCAAGTATTTTTTAAAGTGCATAAGCTTTTCTACATCATATTACCTGAGATTTTCAAACTTATGGACTGTATTTGTAACAAAAGCTTTCAAATTTTAATTCATTCACAATATTATTATAATTGTCTATCTAATAAGAAATAGTAAAAAAATATAAAAATCAACTCATACTTAAAAACACATCTCTCAGTGGATCACAAACGTTCCAACATATCATTCAATTGATATATATATATATATATATATATATATATATATATATATATATAA